ATCTTCCCAAAGTGATTTTTTAAATAGAACAACAATTTTATTTTAATTCATTATTAAATTTGATAACTTTTTAGAATAATTTTTAAAATTATAAAACTTAATATTTATATGCAAATTTATACGTTGCGTTATTTTGAAAACAAAATTAAACCAAGAAAAAACCAAATTGAGCATCCATTTTTATCAGTTGATAGTGAATGTTATGCTTTTAACAGAAAAGCAAAAAATGGTTGTGTTATATAAATGCAGTGGAGATGGTTGTAAAATTCTTGTTATAATAACAGATAACAACACTTATAAAATTGAAGGTTCTCATACTTGTTTAATAGATCATGAAGAGTTGTATCTTGCAAGATGTCGCAGAGAAATTATTAACAATGAGCTTGATGTAAATGTTACTCAAAACATAAGACAACTGATCAACAAAATAATTTTGCTACCCGATTGTGACAAAGCATCTGAAAAAGATATTGAAGCATGTGTTAAATATGCAAGTCGTTTCCAAGATAAAATTTTGGGAACTAATAAACATTTTTACCAAGTAACTACAATACCAGAGATTCTAAAAGTTACTAAAGAACCAAGATCTGAAACTAACATTGACAACTCGTTTTTAAATTTTGACTCTAATACCTTAGACACAACTATTCCAAGATTTTTATTTTTTACTTCTTCAAACCAAAGACACATAGCTTCAAACACAACAAAATATTTTAATGGTACATATAGAATTATTCCAAATGGTGTTAGTTGTATTAATACAATTCATGCATTGATCGAAGACGGCGTTTTCCAGTATGTTTGATATTGTTAACAAATGAAAAAAACAAATTTTCATTTACTCTTTTACTAAAATTTACAACCTGTTTCCACGATTAAAAAGTGCTCACACCGATTGCCAATTTGCTGCAATGAATGCATATAAAAAGTATTTAAATGGGAAGTTAAAATGTGCTAGTTTCATATGAATCAAGCAGTTTACAGAATGACTGGTAAAGTTGGGTTGTCTGCATTATACCAAAAAGATCCAATATTGCATACATGGATACGCAGACTATTTTCACTTCCATTTCTACCGGAAAATGAGATAGAAAATACATTTAAAACGTGTTTTGAACAAATGGCATTATCATCACCATACGGAGTCGGAGAAAAAGTAAATTCACAATTTGAAGATTTGTTAATATACTTTTGAAGTTTTTGGTTGGAAAAAGTTGGTTGTCAATTCTGGTGTCAGTTTATTGAAAATAACAGAACTAATAACTTTTCAGAAGGATTTCATAGTGGAGTTGGATTCCTTGTAACTGTAGCACATCCAAAGTTGTTGGTTTTAATTGACATCCTCAGGAAAATTGAACATAAAACTAAAATGAAATGGAATGACATGATAATGGGTAATGTTATAATACAATACAAAAAGAATGTCACTGATCTTCAACGTAAACTATTCATTTCCATGAACAATTATACCGAAAATAATATCTATCGAATTTGACTTATTTGGATTCTATTTTTTCGTTATACATTAGTTACAATTTGAATGTCCAATTTGCGCGTGTTAATAATTCTTATAATTCAATTTTGTGT